GAGCGGTTGTACAAAACAATCTGACACAATTAAGTCTCGAATATTCCTGTGAAGTTCAACAGTTTTCCTTGGTAATTCTATTCTATTATTAACTTGTGTTTACTAGGGAAGGCGGCATATCGATAGAGTAACTTGAAAATACGATATTTGTATGCTGCCCTATCTACTAATCCGGAAAAAATATTTAGAGAAAGTGGTTATGCTAAAATTTACCTTGCGATTTTTCAAGTATCATTGTTGAAACCAAGCTTTGGCTGTTGTTTATGTAAAATATTTTAATAGGATGTTCAAAAAGTTACAATGTTTTAAATTTGTGTGTCGTTTTGAAACAATAATGTATTTATTACATATCGATAAAAGACGGCTTCGTACATCACTAGAAATTGTGGCGTAGCCGGCACTCGACAAAGATCTCAAGCTGAAAACTTTTAATACTTTAACTCGACACTCACTCAATTTCGCTTAGCGCCAGCGCTCGTTGACACAGCTCGATGCCGTGATATCACTTTATAACTTAACAACTGTTACGACGCGTTACTCGGTTTGTTCACTTAGTTCCAGTATTGTATTTGTAATATAAAAATTTAAATACTATCAAATTAAATCGCGCGGGTTCGATATTTCTCTGTATCATACATATTGTTATGCCCGCAGCTTTATAACATCAACAAGAGGCGTTGTAGACCAGATAAGACAAGGCTTTCTACATACCGTTTTTGCAGCGCGTGCAATAGAAACTCTTGAATATTAATAATTTTTCCCTTTTTTTGTTCCAATTTCCCGCTATTCCTTTTTCCCGCTCCTTATAGTCACAGCGCGATATTTTTTTGCCTAAAGCCTTCCTTGATTCATGTTTTAACAACACGAAAATAATTTTTAAATTCGCACCCATACATGATCAACAAACTCACTCAAAACCAACATACTCTTCATACTCTTCAGTAATTATATATTAGTATATATACATTTTCCGATGTCCATCTAAATAGTAATCAAGCTGTTCCAATATACCTACATACTGCCGGCGAGTGAACGACTACTGACACGATTTTTGTGCTCTCGTAGATATGGGGGTGACAATTCCATCTGGTTCGGTAACCGAAATACACTTTAAAAATATTTCAAATAATACTAATACTTCGCCCAATGCATTATTCGAATCATAAAACTCTGTTCTGCAGTCGAATGAACTTACCACTAGACCGTTTAATATCACATTGCATATTAAAATATCGATCTTCATGATTAGACCATATAACAAATAGGTACTACGCCGCGACTTATAACAAAGCATTAAAATACCATTTGCTTAATCAACTATCCATACAACAAAGGCATTGAAAATAAAGTCTACGAAATAGCGGAAGCCGAAATGAAATATATCGGTCGCTTCGAGCTTTTATTTCCAATTAAACGTTACATGGCCATCGTAATCAACAAGTGTCGCTATCAAAACACCAACTAACCTAATAAGAGCGCTCGGAGCAGTCGCAATAATAAAACAAAACGTAAAACGCGTAAGAAAGTCGGAGAGGAGCGGGCGGGGTGGTCGACAATAGGTGTGCAGATAACTTTCCTTCCATACTAGAGTCAATACCGACCCAAGGGAGTTTTACCCTCGAGATTCGCTCGCTTGGGAAAACTAGACCCTACAATATAGAAAAGGACAGGCTTACCGGGTAGCGACGGGTGAAAGCGGTGCATCGCTGTACTTATGTATTAATAATATATAAAGGAAAAATGCCGAGGACGTGCGCAGAGTGATATGTTGCGACTGTTAGCAAGAGAGGGATGGATGACATCAATTTGTCGTGTCGTGATGGGGTTTTATTTTGTTCCTGCGTTTACTATATTTTTTCGTTGGGGTTTCAGTTTAAATCGGAAAGTTTTGCAATAGCATATACCTACGTTCTACGTGGTGTAGCAGAATGTTCGAAATTTAAATTTCTATTATGGTCAAGCGTAGGGCTTGGGGGGAAGGATGGAAGGTAAAATGCACCAGCTATTACAGCTGAATTGTGTTGCACTGTTGACTTATGTTAGCTTAAGGCAACACAGCGCTAACATAATATTTACTTCATAGAAAATTTGCTTCAACTATCTATATCTACAACCTTTATTCAGTCAATCTAAAATAAATGGTAACCTGACCCGGTGTACCGAAATGCGATTAAGGGTGCGTGCACACCGAGCGCTAATTTCGTAATGCGCCGGTCACGTGGCGTTCGTCCGACACGTGACAGATTGATAGGATGCATCTACTACAATTTGGTCACTTAGCTTATTTGTTAGTTCAGCGACACATACGCGGGCGTGATAAAATTTCCATGACCAGATGAACGAGCTAAATAGTAAAATACTGTATAAAATGACATAATAAATATAAAGAAGTCATCAGACCCCGTATAAATAAGTACAAACTTTTTATTTTTTGCATTGCGTTCCATTTGTTTACATACTCCAAAGTAAGACTCGTCAAGTTTCATCGCGTTTTAATTTCAGTCTATGAATTTTCCCAAATCCAAAGCCAAAATAGTCGACAGCGCACCTTGTTTAGATGTTGAATGTCTGGGATATTTCGCCTACCATCAAAGAGCCCAATGTATCACTGAACCTAATCTATTTAAAAAAAATCTAAGCTTCTGTAAGCGCTTATGTGTATTATCAGGTGAAATATAAACATTCAAAGACGTTCACATCAAAACAATAAACCCGATTATGTTTGAACTATTTAGCGTTCTCACACGTCACTTTCAAATATTTCTCCTCCTCAAATAACTTCTCGAATTCCACAGATTATGTCACTCAACAAAATGACGTCCGAATGTCGCGTGCGCAAAGGGCACGCACGTGCGGCGCACGCGACTACAAACTGCTGCAACTAAAGACTCATTTGGATTATTGTAGCGTAATTGAGTTACACAATTTGTATCTTTGCAAACGAGTCAGATGTAAGCATAGTGTAGTTATTTTTTTAAGTTTAAAACCTATGTTAACAATAAGATATAATAAAACCAATACAAAATACAAAAAACTAAGTAGCTGATGAGTTTGAGCAGGGCCAACAAATCTATTTTTTTATGATCAAATACCCATTCAATATATAATATATAAACAAAATGCGCTGTCGTTCTATTTCAGCTTTGGATATTCGGAAATTCACAGATTGAAACCGAACCCGTATTAACGATACCAACCAGGTAACCCGAACGGAATTTTGATATTCCTACCACTCATTTAATATTCAGATTTTCAGCTACCTCGCAAGGGAACCGACCGAGCTGTTCCAAATCATAGGACTTAAATAAGAAAATTTGTTCTCGGACGGAACAAATACCCTAGAAAGCGAATTTTCATAATTACGCTCACTTAGCAATACACCATATGAAGTGCCATTCACTATTTTAATGTTAATTCCGAAGTAATACAATCCCCATTCTTTACAGACACAATTAGGAGCAGCGATAAACCCATGCATTATCTAGTCAAGAACAACAATAGAAAATATTACCCTTCGAGGACAAAAATTGTTAGTATAATATTACAAGTAGGGTGCTAACGGTACCATGTGCGAAATCACAATGCTTTAAACTATGCGAGTTTATGTTTCTGTTGTTTAAGTATGACGGATGGACGCATCCAGTGTGTAACAAGCCTTATTTATAATGTTTAGGTATATAAAAAAAGAAGCTAAAATATATTAAACGAATTTGTTTTTACTTAATAGGCTGAATAATAAATTGTCAGTTGTCTGTCATAAATGTTTAACTAAACTCGTATTTTATATATTTAGACAATAATAAAACAAACATATGTATAATAGGTAATTTAATATGTTACTTAAATACTCTTTATGAACGATTACAATTTACAAGTCTTATTTGTTATACAACTGCATTAAATAATTTCGCTACATTCATATTTCTCGATATTCCCACGAAAATTCAGTATCGCTCGGTACATTCGGAAGTTCGGTAAACGGAGTCATTTTTATTTTCGTATACATTTCGTAACATTTCTAAGGGAATAATTTATTTTCTTTTTCGTTGTATATTGATAAGACATCCCCATAGAAACGGTTTCTCTAAAGTACAGGATATGTTTTGTTTCAAGATATGATTTATATTCAAATTACAATATTTATGTTTTATTTACACTTAAGGCTACGGATAACTCGGAAATGTTTCCAGCGCTCTATGAAAGATATACAAAACGTATTGGTTTTTACATTACCAGTACTTACAATAAATATATCACAGATATTACAAAAGAAACGTCGAATTGAGTTTGTAAGTTGTTATACAAATAAATAAATTATTGTGAGACTTTTAATACATGGGAATATAAATCATGACTGAATACCATCAAGTGTAAAATAACAAAATGTGAGCTGGTTAAATATTATTAACTATAAATATTTACAAAATAATTACATTACAATTATGTACATTATGTTTCAACACCATTGAGAAATATTGAGCAATACTTCTATGAACATTTTAGGTAATCATTGATATTGAAGGATGTTAAAAAGTAAAAAATGATTTAGAGGTTATCAACGATATTTTTTCTGGTCACAAAGACAGGTTCTGGAAAGTCATCTTTGGACTTGGATTAGAAACTAAATAACAACATAAGTAATAAATAAGTTTACTTTGAGGCGAGCGGTGCGGTCTGTGCATATTGTTGTGCGCTACACGTCGGCAGTGAAAACGGGTTCACGCTGAACGGGGATGACACTAGACCACCCATTCCTGTTGATAACGAAATTATCGTTAGTGACTTTTCATTCAATAATTTAATAATCAAGGGTAAAGAAATCATACTATAATGTAACAATAGAATGGAGATGCAAAAGATGTAGGTTAATCAACACGTAGGAGCGAGTAATTAAATAACGCGCAAGTACACTTTTTATAGTCCCTAGAAGCATAAGGAAAAATATTATATATTATGTGAGTTAAACAGCAAATAACATGCGCAAAAACAAAATGAAACTACTAACATTGAACGGCGAGATGTTGCCAATTCTGTTGGTGTTGAAAATTTGAACGAGGCGGACTTTGTCTTACGACCGCGAAAGCGCTTTTCTTGTTCTCTTTGCTCGTTTGCCCTTTCATAGCGCCGTTGCATTTTGTATGAGAGTTGCCGGCACAATCATCGCTTTTTGAATCCAGGTTTCTCTCTATATAATGACCGCTATCTTTTGGGTTGTACGTGTGATATTGCTGATGGTCAGAAGATACGTGTCCATTCATATTTGCTGGATGATATGGCCCCAGAGACACTGGACGACACAAAACATAGGTTAACCACAAAGCGAAAAAATAAATTCGTGCAAGCGAAGCGTTTATATGTAGGTGGAGTTGCTGATGAAAAACGTTTTACTATGAATACAAAGCATAATAAATAGAATCTAATTATACATTATAGGTAGATTTTAACTCACGAGAAGTGGTGTTGAAGATGGAGGTAGGAGCTGGGTAATGCTGCGGATGAGGGTAGGACGCATGAGGCGTGGAAGCAGCTGAACAGTACCGCGGTGATACAGATCCGCCGCCGCTACGCGCGTACTCCTCTAAAAGAAAAAGCCTAAACATCAACAACATTCTCGTTAGGGATCTGTCCGAGTCAATATAAATAGAAATGTGTTAAAAATATCTAATAAAAAAAAATGTGAGCCGTCACGGGACGCCTGGCAGATGTGAAACATCGCCATTATTTTGTAAAAGTAATGTGCAGAAAAGAACATATTGTGATAGGAACTAAATATGTCATAATGATAAAATAAAATATTACGATTTTTTCCAGATAACGATGACTATTTATTGAATAAACACTTATTTTCATTAAATACAAAAATTAACCGCGCCGCCACACCGTACACACTACTGCATATAGACTGTATATATATATATATACCATCGTATAGCGTGGCGATGCCTCGCCACGGCATGCGTCGCCACGCCAGAAATCGGTTTTACGTGCGGCTATTGATGTTTCACATCAAAAAAGAAACTCTTTTAAATACAGATCATAATAATTCAAAATTGAAATTTATGACACGAAAGAACCCTTTGCCTCCACCTAGACCTAGATTAAGAATTGATGTCAATGTTTTTGCAACGAATTAATTTAAGACCAAATATATTTTTCTAGGTTGCTAATATAATGTCATTTTATTGTGAGTGTTGCATCAATATTGCACTCGTAGTCTTCAAAGAAACTTACCGTCAGTCCACTGCGACCCGGCTGTTTCCTGAACACTAACAGCTAGTTGACCCGTATACGAATTGAAGGGCATGCTCGCAGGAGGTGATCTCGGAGCACCCAGGCCCAGCTGATTATTTCGAGGCATCGAATACAACGCTTCGGCTAGGTCTGCGGCTCGTTTTAATATTATTTCCTATGATCAAATTGCGATTTAGTTATTAATCTCAGTATAAAAACTGTATATTGTATTTTGCTTCAAATACAAGTAATCTCGTAGTCGTAGTCTTTTGTAATACATGCATTAATATGTATGATGTCAATCGAAGTAAACGGTGAAGCGGCAATACCTAATATGTTTATGATTTCTGAAGTAATACCCGACTCACCTTTGGCAACTTTTCCGGATCGCCCGGATGTCTCGGTATAAGTTTCTGAAGCCTCTGAAATCCGTAATCTATCGTGGGCTCGTTGAGAGCTGCTATGCGAAAGAAAAAAACAAAATCAATCATTAGCTGCTCTACTAACAAATGAAATCCTAATTGATTGATCACATGAACAAGAAATTGGGTCTCTACGTTTTGTAGATTGCTGTACGTCTATGTATCGGAGACTTAATGGACTCTTAACATATTAGGTACGTATTAAAGGAAACACAATATTTATTTGAAGGAAAATAATTATAAATTATTCTTTTCAGTTCTGGGTAACTGGAAAAAGCTGTCAATCTTTTCCTGGGACTCAGGACCCCTCGCGTGGATAGGATAAATTAGATTTATTATCAGTTGCCTTAAACAAACATTTTTCATAACTTATGTGACAATTGACACTTTAATACAGAGATAATAAAAGGCCTTAATTGAAATAATTTAGATCGTAATTTTAATTGTAATGTGTTTAATGTCATATAAAGATTTATTCATAAAGTTATAAGTGGACATAATAATAGAGTGGTCAAGTTCTTGATGAAATATAATAGTATAATGTAAAGTAAAAGCTATACTCACAAACATAAACAAATCTTCCAGGCGCTCCTTTACAAAACTGTTTGCTCTTGTAAGACAAGGTGACTTCCACCACTCCGGGTATGTGTCTAGGCGGCGTTTGTACGCGTATCGCATGCGATGTTATTAACTGCACAAAAACACATAGTACATACATAAGTGTATGTACAACTTTTTTATACTTCACAACAGCCGTCGTAACGGATGACTTTAATGCAAATTATATGTATTTAATTATTTACAACGTTACTACAAGACATTTAAACACATGTAATAATTACAAAAGTAGGTTATAGATCATTTCTTATACATAGTATTGTTAGTCTAATTGAGAGAATAAAAATGTAAAGTAATTTCAAATTCCTACCTCGCTCCAAACAAGCATGGTGCCAAAAACTACTTGAAGGCCATCAAAAAAGTTGTCCCCCACTATGATAACCGTCGACCCGCCCGATGTCCAGCCTTCACTTGGAGATATTGCTTTGATGCATGGCGTTGCCACTGGCAACGGTGGGTATAAACCCGCTAGTAGAACAAAAACACGTATAAATTTAAAAAACTAATAAAATGTATTATATGATTTTAATACACAAAGTCAAGCTCAGATATCATAAAGTCTAAAACTACACAAGTAACATTAAACAAAGAATAAGTTAAAAGTTGAATAAACGCCAAACTGTTAAAACTCCGTCCTATTTGAATGTTTATCTTGGAACGTTGCTGAAAAAGAACAATCGAAACCGTAAAAGTGATACTATCGCGAATATAACAATGAAATAGTGTCGGTGATAGTTGAATATGAATTTTAATATCGCGCGATAGAGCTGATAAGGTGTAAAATTAGATGGCTGTTAAGACATTATCAAAGTGTAGCTAGATGTAAGATTGTAGTGAGGGGGACACGCACCGTAAGACAAGGCTCCCTTGTCCTGAAATCTTACAAACAAAACGACGCGGTAATAAAGGCAAGAGAAAGTGAATTTAAGGGGACGGAAGGAGATTACACCGGCGGCGGTTCCTTTTTATTAATTTGAGTAGGTAATGAAAGATTTTTTCCTGAGGATAGAAGATTCTTATTTTAAATATTGAATAAGGATCTATTAAAAATTTTTAATAACCTTAATTGTATTATATCTGGTTTTATAAGAATGTTACATAATGAATCCACAGTAGTAGAATTTGAACTAATATCGAATGAGTTTCCGATTGCAAAAAGCGATAATGGCAATTTTTCGCGCGGAACAATTCATGAGGAAATTATCCCTATTCTCTTCATGGTTGCTCCGACGCCTCCCTCCCACCCTCGGTCAAAGTTGCTTGCGAAATGTCTACACTGATTCTCCGCATACAAACGACATTTTCAAGGCTGTATTACGACTTTACACATTACTAGCTATAACTTTATTTGAAGCCTTTCGTATTTAACATTTAGTTTGACGTGTAACTTAAACAATAATGGAAAAAATAATAAAATCTTCTAGCATTTTACAGCTAGAAGAATTAAAACAATATTTAAAGAATAATAAAGGAAATAATAGAACCAAAAGAACGTACAAGTAGGCTCGAGCGCTGCTTCTGTACCTTCAGTTGGGTCGAGCCGTTTCGCTCGTCTCCCATGTTTGCTGTTGTTGTGGACAAACATGTTGTCGGAAATTGCTAGGAGAGGTCCATCTACCATTACTTGTGTCGATATCACTACCTGAAAGAGAATTGATAAGTCCAACATTGATGTATATTTTGTTTAAACGATGTTTTACTAACTTCAAAGTAGGTAATATAATCCAATATTTATAATAGCAACCTAAGAGAAAACCATTTATTTTAACTTAGTGCAGACACTCGGCTTTTCCCAATTTTGTATTCTCACCTACAAAACATGCCATGTTATATTTTCCCGAGCATTGAAATTTCTTATCTTACAAATATGACTACCGTAAAATGACGTCACTTATTGGCATGGTGTGAAGAAAAGACACTGTCTTAATTATAAGAATGTTATATTTGACTTAATTAATTTATAATATAATTAAAATCCATAATCAGATTCACGTCAGGTAAACGGCCTATAAAACTATCTTAAGCAGACCACCCATAAACGGAAAGCCTTATAAGAGTACGAAATGCACTTCCTTGCATACCTACGCAATCGTTCGTCCATTTCCTCAAGTCGAGACATTGGCCCCACCTCCCCAGGGACTCTCCCTTTCGAGCACGTGTATGTGCGCGTTTGACTGTAACATGTGTGTGTGTATGCCTATTTCCTATTTTTGTTTATCCTTTCTGTGATCTTGAACTTCATATTGAAAACATTTTTTTTATGATAGAGGAGGACTGACATGTACGGGGTTCACTTGATGGAAGGTAAAGTACCTCAGTCATTTATATGATTATATATAACTAGATGCGTAGTCGATTTACTATATATATTCGGGATATATATTGTAGATATTCGGAAATCCACAGACTGAAATCGTAACGCGATTAACCTTTACAACCTTTTCAACTGTAATTTTATATCTAATAACGACTTATAAGTAAGCAAGAAGGTCAGATATGTCTTCATACCTCTATTAGAGGCTATGCAAAGAATAATCAAGTTATGTATGTATTATCATTCGGTGTACTCTACAAAACTATTAATAGTTTATATATTAAAGCCATATATTCTTACCCTTGAAACGTTAGGGCACGACCACTGAATTATTCAATGACACACGGAAAGCCCAAATATAGACATAGCCACGCATGCACACAAGACGTATTGAAATGAACACTAAATGTTAGTTGTGTTAAGTTCTATATTTGTTTAAAGTTCGCCGAGGACACGTAAGACAAATATGTCTTAGGGAACTGTGAGGCAAATTTGTTCTCATAAGGAGAGTGAATGCACCTTTACCGCAAGAGACGTTAGGGCTGACGTTAATTACCTTGCGCGACCGTAAAAGTTTCAAACGAGAAAGTATAACAATACTATGTCGTATTTTCTAATTGCTTTTAAGTTTATCAGTCATCGTTGTTTAACTATGTTTAGAGTATGGTAGACTATGGTTAGAGATAAGCTTTTCTTGATTCAATGATGGAATATCCAAGAAATATTAAATCTTACCAAGACCTAGTATTTTGTAAATCCTCGACCCGTTGATTATTAGCAGTAAATTGCTACCATTAGCAAGCCCGTCAAATTAAAAGTGTATCCAAATCATTATAGCTGTAAGGTCCCCGTTTGGGGGCTGACTGGTTTATGGGTCAGATTCTTAAATAACCAAAAGTGTCAATCCCCAAAAAACTATATTTCATGTTTTCACGGGAACTTAATCGTTAAAAAGTCAATAAATATTTTAACTCTTGCATCTTATCACTACATGAGAGGAATAGTTACATCCAGAAAGAAATCAGTTCACTTTATAAGTAAATAGATAAACTCGTATAAATAAATTTAATTTCATCCCTCGCCTAAATTGGAGGCGCTTCAAATATTCAAGAGTCGTGAACGCAACCCTTCCTTCACTTGAGGGTGATACTGTTGTATGGTACAAGGGTTCGATACAAGCGGAAAAAATCGCTTATTCAAATACTACTAATATGCATTCTATGGTTTAACCATTGTTCCATAAATACTGTCTATTATTTCTTTACACAGTAAAAAAGTTATAAGCAATGCTACATGGATACGACACAATGTAGTCCTTGTTATAAAAAAAGAGGGCAGAGTTATTTTTTTATTATTTGTATTAAGGATAGTTAAGCTCCACAAAATCTGGATAATCTCTGTTACCTACTCGTATTTATCTCATAATATTATGTTTGTTAATAATTCGTAAATATAAATAACCACTTTTAATTGTACAAATAATAAATACAATATGTTATTATTAAAATTGTAATACAGTTACTAAGTTCGTGACTTGTACCACAACCTTAGCTAGAGATAGACTGGTGAAACACTGTAATTTTTCCTTTTCTCTTGTAAATACTTGCTTTTTTTGTTGGAACAAAGAAAAGTAATCTTGCTTTTCTTACTGATAGGAAATGATTCTAAAAATATCAGTCTTACAGATCATAATACTTTGTCATACAGAATAGTATTTTAGCATTATTAACAGAGCAGTGTAATATAATTTCAAATTACCTGAAACCTCCGCATATCTCGTGGATTGCCAGCGTTCTTTAGACAATTTTGGTTGCATTTGAGAAAGAATTTCAGAAAAAACCTGAAACAAAAAGAAAGACTTTAGTTCTAAATTCGAAAATTTGAGAAATATTTACGTTTTATCTAAGCGCAAAAACACATACGACTCTTAAAAAGCCGTTAACACTTCACTTAGTTTTTATAGTCATTCGCACGTTTATGAACCTCAGTAATTTGTTTCTTATGCCACCAAATTTGTATCATCCGCCCTTTTCTAAACTTTTTTTGCGCTACTAATTTCACACAGTCGTTTAACAGTTATAGGCAAAAAGTGAGGGGACTTCTAGAGACTTTATTATAACTAGTGACATATCGGCTTACACATAAAGCTGATCTTTGCAATGTATTCGTGAAATTCAAGTGAAAGTAAACTCTATATGAAAGAGATAGGGTTGTAGAATGAGAGCAGTGGGTGATGCGTTCAGCGTACGATCAGACTAGCGATCACGATGAATGCTTCAGCAGAAATATTTTACATGGCCTCCGGCATCAGCCACACCACGCGACGTATATTGTTGTGCCAACAGACACTTATATATCTAGAGCTGGTACAACAATCTTTGAATCCAATGCTTTGATTAAACGCCTTACAACTTGTCAAAACTTGAACGCAATCTCGAGTATGATGTTCCAAAAAAAGAAAAATATAAAGAAAAAGTAATAACAGCTCTATACAATCCAAAAATCTGGCGTTATGAACCGTGTACCGCGAACGTATTTGTAGAGCCCGCGGCGTCGCACATCTGTTCTCGCATTATTTATGTTAAACACCTTATGTCACAATATTGCGAGTTAGGAGTTTACGCCTGTCAACCGACACCGAGACTATGAATGAAGATTTTATTTTAAGAAACTGAAGACAGATAAATTTCGGTGCAGTCTAGGAGTCACTGTTTTAACCTATTGGGTAATAAGCTAAAGTTATAAGAGCTTAGACCCTAGTAACCATCAGTTTAGTGGTATGTCAAAATGCAAAGAAAGGCTAGTTAGGAGGGTATTCTTTGCCCTTTTTATATCACAAACTTTTTTATCATAAGTTTCCAAGTTGCAGCTGACGCTAAGTCCCATGTCAATGAGATATTTTTTTTTTCAAATCTTCATCGTTTTGTACGGCGGCATGATCCCTATCGAGCTAAATTACCTTCATCCACCGATTATAGAATTAAAGGTTTATCGAGTAAAGTTGTTGAAACGTGTGCATTTCACAAGGCGAGTAGAGAAGTCTCGACAGGCGCTAATTTATATGAAGCTCCTCGTAATTTACGACTACCTGAACACCGCCTTACATCTGCTACTGAATTAGATAGTAAAGAAACTTTTATTGAGGTGCAGCTTTTATTTTAAAGTATCCATTTTTACTACTTGGTATAAATCCTATACCTTTAATTAGTTTTAATAATAGAGTAAGTACTTGTAAGCAACTGACAAGTACTGCTAAATAATTTCTTTAGCAGCTCAAACAAATAAGTTGTATTGTGTATTTTATTAAATTACGAAGTAAGTCATACAAAGAATATTTATACTTTGTATGATTTACTACGTAGTCTAATTATTGTAAAACGTATTACTTTCTTAAGCCTGAGAGCTGATTTTCTGACAAAAGTATAATTAATAATATTGATTAATATTGATTTCAAATAACTCTACCCTTTTTTATTATATATGATGGAAAATGAAGAGTACATAACAATAACTCGTTACCATAGCAACTAAGATCAATGAAGTAAAATCAAAACCAACCCTACAAAAGTGGCTATGTGTAGGTGCAAAATATTTTTTCATCGTAACGGGAACGAAAGAAAAGAGTGCTTTAGTCGTAAAAAACTAACCCTCCCTTTCATCCCCTGCGCTGTGTACCTAATACAGCCCCTTTCTTGAAGGCTTATCTTTAGATAGGTACCTATGATAGAAAAAGGTACATTAAATGTATAGTTTTGAGTAAAATTATTTTCTGTAATCGGTATATGTCAAATAAATATACACACTATGTTGTCATAGTATTTATCATACTTAAAGAAATGTTTTACAAAGCATACCAGAAAATCAATAGTATGTCTATTCAAAGACTCTTCTATGAACTGAGGTTATTACAGCTAATATTTATATTGTTTATGTTTTTATGCCATACATTTCTAAAACGTCATAAATGTAGCTAACATACTATTATCTATTACAGTAAAGGACAATGGCGGCAATATCCAATGATAGACACTCATAAGTTGTTCCAGTTGGTATCTTGAATTGTGCGCTCTATAAAAAAATCTACTACGGCATTAAGTCGCGGTGAGGGGGGTGGCACAGGGTGAACACTTGAGTCCCACCCGCCTCATACTACACGGCCAGGATACTATGTTTATTTGCATAAGATGTTCTCTTTAAAATAACTATGTATAACTTACTGTTACCGCTAAACTATGAACTGACGATGTCAATAAACGCGAACGTTAATTAAACATGAAATAAGCTTTATTGGATAGTGATAAAATACATCCAGATTAGTTATGCTCTAAATATATGTTATTTTATATTTAACAGATTATGTTTCTTTAAAGCATATTATACTATCGCATTTGGCCCTTTAAAGTAAATTCAAGTTAAAGGGTTAATTTCATGGATAAAGTAAATTTCAAACAGTGCATGTAAGTGCAGTAAGTTAGACCACAGATAATATAATACTCCTAAAACAATTGTGAACCAGTCGCGTTCACAGTCAACAATCGAGCGTATAGGAAGATCGCGCGTTCTGACAACAAGCGGTCTCCACCAACTTTTCCCTTTTAACCTTTCGTCCCCCTCTCTACTCCCTCGGGAGGCGGTCCCCTGGGCAGGAATTGACTCCCTACGCCCCTGCCACCACTCAATACCGACACGCCATGCGGACGCCAAAGATTAAGTACGCGGAAGATTGAACAAGCTATACTGACTGTAATCCTCAGTAAGACTTAATAATTAGGTCTCATCGATTTTAATATGATACTGATATAATTATAACTGTATTTAAAGGGAAACTTTTTTAAATCATCCTTTTATGTATTTGTATTCAAAGTAAGAAAGAGTTTTATAATGTTGTCAAGTTAAGGTCTTTTATTAAGCTAACTGAAATCTTGAAATATAAAATTCATGAAGGTTTTTTTAGTAAAGTATCTGTGCGTTAGTCTATTCTTTGCAAACATGCGACGGGCCCATAACGGGACCACTTTTTGACTTTGTTTTTCCGCGTGTGCCTATAGCCCGCGTAAATATTTTAGTGTGTACCGAATTCAAGGGTTAACTGGCCCCCGTCTATCGAGTTAAATAGATGTTGAAACTAACTCCACTTCAATCAAAACTTAATATATATTTTTAAAGTACCTCTCGGTTTCACTAGTACATATAACCTTTTCTGTTTTGTTACCCCCTTATAAGCTTTACGCATTGTCACGACTATATTATTGTGCATAATAATGTCAGAGTGGTATGTGATTTTATCCTTATTGACATTAGTACGAATTAAATAACGGTAAAGAATAGAAGTACTGTATATTTTTTCTAACTTGAGAATAGACCACAAAAAATATGGCCGATTGAAAGCCACTTTTATAAATTTTATCTTTTGAAAGTTGTTCATGCACTATCTATCTGAATACCGGTACCAAAAATACTAAGTAATTTCTACTATCAAAAATATGCTAACATGTTGTTCAAAGTACAATCTAAAATTATATCGTTCACTATGGTAAAAGTTACATCACTATTCGATCAGAAGTGTATACTTAAAATATTCAAGTAGCCACGACAATAATTTAGGATAAAATATAGATGTCGTAAATGGGGTTCGAACTCCCGTACGTTACTCTGGCAATTGAGGTAGGTACCAATCGTCGTCAATATTCATCGAAATTCTATTGTAGTACAGATCTAAGAAAGGTCAAAAATAAATCCCACAGTGGAAAACAGAATAGACAAAACGAGCTCTTTCGGCTACAATCAACATATAAAGACAAGGGCTACATTACGCGTCACTTCATTGTGGGCACCGCTCTAATTGTAACTACACTCTGGGGCACCATCAGCCGCTCAGCGCTACTGGTAGGCGTGTGCCACTAATCTTCGACCCCTACATGCCGATACGAACCGCGCAAACTAACACACCTTACCGCTTACATAATACGGTCGAATATCCTCTGTCCTTGCGGACGGTATTTGCAAACGTAGCGAGGGTTAACGCACACTATCAACTCATTAAATTGCATCGCCTTTTTAATGAGTCTGAAAGTGAACAAAGGATATTGAGCGCGATTACATTAAGTACGTAGTAGCAATATAAGATAGTTTTGTCGACAATGAGATAAGCTCAAGTAACGATTTAGTTTTCGTAATTCTCACGTCGCGTGCGTTCCAATTGTTTATGCTGTATCAAATGATATTTTAACGTTTTCTACGAAAAATATCTAATTACTCTTTAGTGCAACTATGGCAGTATAACTTATATGTTTTAAAATGGTTATTGGCTGGAGAGCATTTTCCAAAAATGGCCTGACTTATAATTTCATTATTCAACTTTAGTTTGTAGGCACTTAACTAATATTTAAGTAAGTTTGATATTCGACTCACGCGTATCCATATTTATTTTAAATACATCAAGTGAGTATGTATACAAATAGGCTATATACATATTTGTTGTATCAAAATAATAAAAAAATATTATTCGTTGTTATTGAAAAAAATAAATTGATAAAATATAACGCTAGACTAAACTCAAAAAGCCGCATATTTCAGGCACACCACATCAGCATAAGCCCACTACCCTCTCATATTTACTCGTTGAATATGCTATAAAGTGATATCACTTGATCGTTTTCCGGGTAATAGTTATAAATTACCCGGGTAGTTTATAAAAGCCGGTTAACCCGAGGTAAGCGGACAAGGTCTATAATTTATTATTGGGAAATTCGCGTACATGTTTTCATATGCGCTATTGATCATGTCTGCGTAGTAAAGGTTATAAATCCGCTTTACTCGCTGGAATTAAGCGTATTGTTCGAAGTTCTGTTCTTAACGGTTCTACCTAAATTGCATTATGAAAACCGCAAAAACAATGCTGCCTAATGGTAATCACAAGACGATAAAGTAAAACTGATTATTGAATGTCGTTTGGGTCTTATAGTATATGCATATAAATTGCATATGTAAGATCGGGAGGTCGATAGTAAGTAATACAAAATTTATCTTCGATTTCATATCTAAGTATATGTATTCAATGGTATGTCATTAGGAACCATTATGTACTAAAACTAAAAAAAGTAATAAGGTGTCTGAAATACTATGTCTGTAGTTTACGCGAATAGTACACATTTAAATAAAACACGATTTGCAGCAGCCGAAATAGTTAAGAATAACTTTTAAATAAGTTTAACTAATATATATCGCGATTTAAATTTTTAAAGTGTTTTATTTAAACAAGGAGTCTTGTCAATGCGCATTTTTCCAGTGTGGGAGATTCAAGCCCATGCGCCCTCTCAGAGGACCTGAGCCGAAATTGTTTTTTTTGACCTGTTAAAATTAGTGACCGGATGCTAAAAATTCATATGAAACATTGAACCTTATGTATAAGTTAATTTATTGTTAACGTATGCAATCGAAAGATTTCCCGTCACCTAAATTATTATTTAAGAACAAAAACTAACTAACCTATTCTAATGGTTCGGTAAACCAACATATAAACGTTATATCGACGATCCTATGGAATGGTTCTATCAAAATATAACGGCCCCGA